CGGGCGTCTCCACTGATGCCCGTGATGCTGATACGTAAGTTTTTGGAATTGCGGCACCCCGCGGGTGGGGATTGGGAAGTGGAGCACGTTGGACTCTAGTGGCCGGATGTAGTGGCCCTGCGTGGCAATATGGAAAAGCCAGTGCAAGCTAGCGACGTCAATTCGAGGCGCAGCAAAACATTGTTGAAACTGTGCGCCCAGACGGTGCTTTCCGATGTACACATCGATGTGCCCCAGATCGAACTGGTGCTGCACGGTGCCGCCGAGAGTCTCGATGAGTGAGACTATGGCCGCCCTCAAGTGTTCACTGAACGCAAAGTCATCCGCAAGATAGACGCTTTTGTGTGCAAGCACTAAGGTGTGGGCGAGTTTCGAGATCTCGGGGGCTGGCTCGCCGCCGTCGGCGGAGAAATCCGGCTTTCCCGTCTGCAACACCTTCGGGTTCGAGAGCAAGTACGGGGTTTCTAGCACGTGCCGCTGCTGGCGTACACAGGCATCGATCCAGTGCGGGAGCACGATGCAGATATCGCCGGTGTCCTTGCGGCGGATGTTGGCTGCCACCACCAGCTTGTTGTTGGTGAGATCAAGCGCCACTAGATGGGTCGTGTATCGCAGCAACGCGTCGAGATACTGGCCTCCAAACGCCCGCACGCCCGCATAAATGGTGTCCTTGTCGCCCTGGGCAACGTTGTCCGCGACGCAGACCACCACCTTGTCCATGAACGGCGCTGGAGAAGGGGCGTACAACCGGTAATTCCGCTTCTGGGCCAGCGCCACCGAGTCCCACACCCATTTTCCGGTGGTCACCGGCACCATGGTTTCTGTGGCAGCAGCCTCATCTGCAAACCCGGCAGTTTCCGTGATCACGTGGGTGATTTTGTGCTGGTCTATGAACCCGAAGCACCCGGCGGGATCGCAAAACGTTGCCCGGCCGCCGTTCTCGGAGATGAGCCGGCCGATTTCGGCCGCGGAAGATCCGCCGGCCTCCCCTTCGCGGTTCTGGCTCTCATCGATGACGAGGAAGTTCGTGTTGTCGAAAACGGGCATTCTGCACGTGGCGATGTTATGTAGCAGTGTGGTTTGTAGTGCACGCCTGGGGTAGTCGTACGCGTCTGGCGGTGCTCTATGTGCAGGAGCGTGGGTTTGCGGGTTTCAGGGGCTCGGCGGCTGCTGAGGCGTTGTGTATTTGGTGGGGTCTTGGGGGTGGACACACCCGTGGACTTGTTTCCTGATTACTTTTTGCTGTACATTGTGCGTTCTTGCTGTTTAATGACCTTTTTTTGTTTCCTAACGGTGCAAGGTGTGTGTGAAGAACGGACTATATGTGCCCTAGGGACCAAAGCACCGGACTCATTCGTGGATCTCCCCATGAAATCTGATTTTTGTATAAACATACGTCTCAAAAAATGTAGATTCTCTTGTATTCTATCTTACCTCGGCTGAAGGATGGCAGAAGGCACTCGGCCTTTTGTTTGGCATATTCTTGTAGTAGCTAATCCATGCCTGATCTGATCTGTCATAATTGAGGGTACATGGACCAGTGTGCAGGAGAGCAAAGGACATATACTAATAAAACAGATGGACCAACTGTCAGAGACTCCGTTGGCTTGTTTCCAAAAATTTCCAAAATTGTTAATATGGGCGGCTATCGGCTATCCATTTGATATCCAAACTAAACATGGCTTCCTTTTCCCGGCACTCAGTTGCATGCAGTCGTGTATTATAGGCATCGAGATAGTGCTTCAGTCATCTTGCCAGAATTGCTATGGAGGTGCTCGAAGTAAAATGTATGATTGATTGAAAATCTTTTTATAGTGCCGCTAGAGGGACCTTTGCTTTTGTTATTTAAACCGGGATGCTTGACGTTGCAAGAGCGTGTTTAGTGGGGCTCGATGATGTACTCAGCCATTCGGCGTGAGGGGTACAATAATTAGGTATATGATGTACAATAATCACATATATGATGTACAATATGTACACACGTATCATGCGAATGCTTCTGTATATCTACCCTATACATATTGTTTGAGGATTCAAGGGCAAGCCTCTATGAGCCGTTTATCTACGTCTGTCAGAGCAACTCTAAAGGTACATAGCCAATACTAGAGGTAGGAGAGTTCGGGCAATTCAGTGAAGATTCCGAAAAAAGAAGCTTACCTCGCATTTCCAGTTGGCGGCTCATTGTGATAATTGGGTTCAGTAGATTCTAGCAGAGGATCCGTGATTTTTAAGGCGTTATTGTTTTTTCCTGTTTAGTTTGGAAGTTGCACTTTGTCTCGCGCAGGCTTAAATGCACCAAAAACAACGAACGGACACCTCACGTTCCAGGCTACAGAAATTCAAACTAAAAAATATGGAAGGTTCCCGAGTTTTCTGAAATAATATATATATACTCAAACCTCAGTTTGGTTTTAAGACAAGATACTGTGACCATGATTCTCAGGTTGTTCGTGAGCCAAGGTGATCTTGATAGCATCGGTACTCAAACACCTGCGAGCAACAAACCAAAACATGAAATTCTATTTTGGATCAAGGTCTATTATTTTCGATTTGGGATCATGCGATCTGATTGAGGTGGTAGTTCACACCAAAGACACTCCAATAAAAGGCTTCAAATAGCGCTGTTTTGATGTATGCTCGTATATACTAGACAGAATGTCGCGATAGCAGCGAGCTCAGGCGTCCCCTTCGGGCAAGAAGTTGGATCTTTGATGTCTTCACTGCACTGCCATGACACAGCAACGCTGTACAGTACACGTACGGAAAGAAAAGCGTGAGTAGCCTACAGGTTCAATTGAAACTCCCTTATATTTGATGATTATGTGGTCTTCGTGTAACGAAGGAATGAATGTGAGGGCGACATGGCCCGGTGATGCAATGCCTGTGAGCTTCCCGCTGGCAGGCGTGTTTTTTCAAGACGAGAAATGAAATGCGATAAGAATGGGAACGGATCCCACGAGTATGCTGAGGTCGGCGGGGGTGCGCGGGTCTGGCAGAAGCAACCCCGAAGTCGGCACACAAGCGCCGGGACTAAGAGCTCTTTTCTGTGTGGAGCGCCGGGTCGAACAAGTCACGGCCCTCGCTGACGATCTTGCGGGCCCAGGTGCGGCACACGACACTAGCACGCAAGAACTTGCGCGAGGCGTATTTCTTCTGGAACTCGTCGTGCTCGATCGGCGCGTCGAGGTAGCGCACAATGAGGGCCACGCAGTCGCGCAAATCGTCGACTTTGTAGCCGCCCGAGTAGTGGATGAGGTTGCCGTTCCACGCGTGGTGCTTGTTCAAGATGATGCGGGCGATGTACATGGCGGCCGCGGAGCATAGAGACGGGAGGATGCCGATGAAGTTGTGGTCGACGAGCGAGATCTCGAGCAAGTACTTGCCCAAGGTGCGCAGGTCCACGTCATAGTCGTCGGCTTTGGAGATGCGGCGCAAGAAGTTCATGGGGTTCGGGTAGTTGAGGTCGTAGCTCAAGACGGTCAAGATGTAGTTTTCTGCCTCGAGGATGGCGGCCTCGGTGTACGAGCCGTCGGTGTAGTAGGCGTAGTTCTTGACGGAGGGCGAGAAGACCTCCTCGTACTTGGCGGCGATGAACAAGGAGCCCGTGGCCAAGAGCTGGAGCTTGTCGATCTGCACCACCTCCACGGACATGAACCTGTCCATGATGTTGATTGCGAGGAAAAGCGTCTCGGGCAAGAGGCGGAAGCGCTGGTGCATCTCCACGAGCCAGTCGACCAAGATCAGGCGCATCTTCGGCTTCAACTGCGTCTGCTTGTACAAGTAGCCCGGGTCGGGCAACGTCTTCTTCTCGAGCTCGTGCAAGTAGGGGAAGATGTCGTCCACGTACTCGCTCACCATGAGCGGGTCGTCGTCGTCCTCCTTGTCGAGGTCCTCCCACTCGTAGTCGGTGGTCTTGCACTTCTTGTGCTTGGCGTGCGGCTCGTCGTCGCTGGCGATGTGGAGCTTCTCCACCAAGGCCGTGCTGGACATGGTGGCCTGGCGCTTCTGCGGCATGCGCAGGGGCTCCTGCGAGGCCGGGTCCAGCTTGACGAGCTTGGCGGCGCGGCCCACGTCGGCGGCGGCTGGTTGCAACGGCGCGGGGTCGGCGCCCAAGGGCCGTTTCCTGGGCGCCACGGCGGCCGCGGGCCTGGCGATGCCGAACTTGCGCGACACGTCCCGCAAGTGCGGGCGGCTCGGAGCAGGCGCCGTGGCGTCGTCGTCGAGGGGCTTGGCGGCGGGCATTTCGGCCGGCACTTCCGCACCTTTGGCGCGCGAGCGCGTCACGCGGTACTCGTTTTCGTTGTTGTACGTGGCCATGGGTTCTGGGGGTGATCAGGGAGGGCACGGGCGACCGGCGAGATCCGGGGGCAGGCGGCGAGATCCGGGGCGGCAGCGGGATCCGGGGCCGTGTTTGTGGGCGGGGGCCGTGTGGGTGCAGAGGGGCCGTGTTGGGGGACGGGGGCGTGGCAGAAAAAGCGCAGGGTGTTTTTTGCTCAGTGCGATGTGCGTGGCTCGGTGCTGATTTGCCTGGCGAAACGCGTGGAGAGTTTGCGGGCTGGGCGCGGGAAAAAAAAATAAAATCCTGGCGCCGGGTAAGTATGGCTGGGGGGCAGAGGCACCGGTGCGGAGGGGCGGCCAATGGTGGGGGCACAAATAGCAAGACTAGCGAGGGCCAAGGCGGCGGGCGGCAGGCTGCAAAAAAACAACAACAACGAAAAACCACAGGGAAAATAAGAAGGGTGCTGGGCGGCTGGGAGGCGGGCAGCAGGAAAGGAAAAGCGGGTGGGGGATGGCGTGGCAGTGAGGGAAGAAGCCGGCCGTGGTTTCTGGGGCCGGGCCTGGGGCGCGGGCACACAGGCGAATATAAAGGAACAGGCCGGGCCAGTGAGCAGCGCAGCGGCGGTCGCAGCACGCGTGCCCAAACAGGAAGGCGAGCTGCGAAAAGAAAATACAGCGGGCCCCGTCAAAAAACCCGAGTGCAAGGACAATAGGGAGCGTGGGGTGACGGGGGCTGACGCACGCGGCCACATGGGGGCCGAAGGTAAATACGGGATGTGCCACGCCGGTTTCAGGGCGGCGGAGCTGAAACGGCGGCCGCCGTGGAACGGGGCCTGTGCCTGGGGCCTGTGCCTGGGGCCGGATGGCGGGGACGTGTTTTTTCGTGTTTTGCACGGCGTGTTTTTTCGTGTTTTGCACGGCGTGTTTCCATGTGCGGTGGCGAGGCTGGGTTTTGCAACAGCGGCTGGGCCGGCCCGCCCCGCGTGGCGTGCTGCCTAGTGGGGGTCTGCGTAGCTGGCGGGCGTATTACTTGGGGTGGTGTGCCGAATAGTGGATCATCTCTGGGGAGGGTGTGCACAGTGGTGGATTGCCTGGCGGGACTGTTTTAAGCTATTGGGCCGATTTCCGAGAGCGAACGCGGCTGCGGCACCTCTGGGAACGCTGTTGCGCGAGCCGTGTTTCATGGCTCCGCGGGGCCCTGTGATGCCTGGGCCACGGACAATTGGACAATGACTGTCTTGATCCCTGGAGCCGAGAGCGCCACGCGAGCCGGCAACTGAGCCCGGCCTTGGCCGCCAACACCGCCGGCCCAGAGCCACCGCACCACCACCGCGCGGCCGTGCGCGCTATCGGGCGCCTGTTGTCTTAACTGGGCCTTGTCGCTGTGGATCCACCGCGCGGTGCGGGTTTCTAACCACGAGGTTCGTTCCACGCCTGGGTGCCGCGTGAGCCTGCACGCGTAAAGTTGCCCATGCCGCAGGGCCACCGAAGCCCAAGCCTCGCGAACACGCTCCATCTGAAACTCAGAGTTGACTTGCCCCTGGTCGAAGCATCTCTCATTCGCAGCGCCAGCACTGAGACGTTTCATCTCACCGGGCAAGCGTCTGCCCGAGACCCGCACGTAAAATCGCGGCCGCACACCGCCGACTTAGACGACGCTGCCAATCAATACCCTTGTTCGCGCGAGAACACTTAACCATGAACCTGAAAGACGGCCGTCCTACCCAGCAAAAAGAAAAACACCGCGTTTCTCCTTTGGGCCATGCATCCGGAAATAAGCTCTCCATCGCGGGAGATCAGCTCCTCGGTGCTTTAGTCCCAGGCCGCGCCCATGCCAGTTGCTTCTGCTGCATGCCTTGGAGTTATGAGCGTGGGTTGTTTTGATTGCGCCCGAAAACGCTGACGCGCCGGCTTGCGCCGAAAGTCGTTCCGGCTCCATGTGGATTCCAGCCGCAGAATCGCACGTTTAATGTGCGCAGCCTCTCCAGGTTTCGGCGCCGTGTATCCAAAGCTTTCCTGGTAGTCCACCTGTTTTTTTGCATAGCTGGATTTGGATATTCTTTTGGCGTGGTGCGCTGCCCGGGGGGCACCAACTGCATGTCCTCTACCCTGCGCGAGCTAATGTAAACAGTGCGGCACGGAGGGCAAAACGATCCGGTGCCCAGCAATCTCGGGGCTGCCCGTGACCTTGCGAGTTGCCCGCGGCCATTACGAAAATGGTGGCTTGAACCCAAAGCTTATCTGTGCTGCAAAACACAAGAATCCCAGTGCGTGGTGTACTACGTCACCATAACAAAGGGTGATCCCACCAGATCAGCGTGCGCCGCAAGCAGAGCAATCATCCTACACAAGCACCGCACCGTTTGCTGTGCACCATCTGCGAGGTATCTGCACTCCGATCCACGAGACTGGCCAACACTCCAATATTCGGTATTATACCGTTCGGTTCCAAAGAAACTTGCCCATGAGCGCCCGCGTATCGTTTTCCTTTGGCATGGACTCCGACTGGGGCCTTGTCATCGACGCCACGCCCAAACACGCTGCACACGTATTTTTTTGGTGAACCAGCGGTGAAGCGGGCACGGCGCGTTCGTCAGTGAGGAGCGGTGTGCTTGGCCGGGCACACTCACAGTCATGCATCCTGGTATCTGTAGTTCTCGATACTTGCGTTCGGAAATCCTCTCTGATGAGGTTCAACACGTGCTCCAACCTTGAAAACTGCTCCTCGCACTTGGCTGGAATTGTCTCTGGGCTTGTCTGGTCACCTACTATATTAGGGTGCACGGGTGCGGCATGTTCTGTTCCGTTTGTTTCGCCTGCGCTGGGCGGCGAGATTCCGGACGCTTGCTCGCCTGGCAATACCTGCGGGCTGTGTCTGGAGCTCGCTTTGGTTTCCAAAGTGTGTTTCGGAATGCTCCGTTGGGAAGGGGGCGAGTCGTGGCCCACTTCATCCGAATGGGCCATTGTAGATTCCGCGTCTCCACCGTGCTTTTCCAGTGGCGACCTGGATCCCAAGGCTTCCAAAACACCTCTGAGCTGTGCAAGAAACCGCTCGTCGTCCCAAACGGCTGTTTGCTCTGCTTCCCGTCTTGGGATTGTTTTGGGCGGTACACGCCCGGTACACTGGACATCCCCGTCGTCCTCCAGGGCTGGATGCGAAAAGGCCTCATGGGCAGCATCTGTCTTTTGCTTGGGTGGCTCATTTCGGTGGTTGGGGGCCGCTGGCGCCTTGGGTTCAGACAGAGTCAGACAAGGAAGCGTGTCACGTGACACGCTTTCCGGGCCGCCTTGTCTCTCTCTAAGTAAGGCGTCGTATAGGTTTTTGTACTTCAACAACTTGTCACGTAGGAGCCTGTTCTCACGGGCCAATTGGTCTGACTTGTCGTTGCGCTGGAAATTGTTCATTTGCAACTCAAGCGACAAATTCCGCGAGCGCAAGCTCTGGTTCTGTTTCTGGAGCGTATCGAAGTCGGTTTTCCACCGGTTCACGTCATTTTTTTCGCGCCGGAGAGCGTCGATTTCTCTTTGCAATTCACCGTTCCTGACGCGTTCAGAATACAACTCCTGCGTGAGCCTGTCGGTGGACAGCAGAAGAAGAGTTTGGTACCCACCTAGCTTTTTTGTGTCGCGCACGACATCATGCTGGAACACGTTGAGCGGATCGAAGTCTTCGTCAAAACCACTCATCAGAACCGGAGAAGTCTCCTGGGGCTGGCCTGCATTTTCCACGGCTGGTCGTGAAATCCGGGGAGTCCGAAATTGCCGCCGGGCTGCCTTGATGGGGCTGCCACGGAGTCTTTCTATGTCCATTTTCAAGGGCGAGTCACGTGGCGTTGGAGGCAACGTGACATTAGCCAGATAAGTGTTTGCGTCCTTTAAATCTGAAGTGTCATCCAAAGGGTCATCTAGAGGGTCAAAATCCTGCAACTTATGACCATCAAAGGGCATTTTGCTATACATTGAGGGCGTGCCAGATCCAGCCATTTGGGAGTTGGAAAACTTGTCCACGAGCTCCTGTGTTGTATCAGTCATTATGCCAATCAGTGAATTATCGAAGAAGCGGGAGAAGTATAAAATTCCTCACAAGGTAGGGATATGGGTGAAGAAACCGGTATATGCTGGTCTTGACTAGAGCAGATCTTCGTTACAAACAATGTTCCGGTGTCTGGAGCAGTGCGCGTCTCGCACGCGTTTCATGCTGGAGCCATCATCAGCGTGCTATACAGAAATATTAAGAAGTGAGATTTCTCAGGGCCCTTTGCTCGAGTGCAGGTTTGGAGCATATATGATACATTCTGAATTGAATATGGGTCTATTCTCTCTTTCATATAACAGCGTGGCTTCAGCAACTGAAGCCAGGAGAAGTAATGTTATCAAGACGCTCTGCATCCAAGCATCGGACCATCTATAATTAATTTGTCTCACCAACTTGGGTTTCGAAGCATAAGGTCACCCAATGGGCCGCAGTCCTGCTCCATACCCCATAAAACCCTCCGATCGGTCTTTTACATTCACAACATGTTCCCGTAATTTGTCATAAAACCTGGTCTACTCTTCCACATGAACGTGCACCAAATAGTCCAATGCCTTGACCACGGCGTTAATATGCCACGGCACTAGTGTTTGAAGCTCTGCTTGCCGTGCCTTACGCGAGTCGTCCATGGACACAGCAGCTCTATCATAAACACCGAGGATATCATTGAGCATAACAAGCTTCTTGAACTGCTTGAGTGTGATTTTCATCGCGTTGTCTAGATTCCAGTAATTTGAACAACTGAGAAGGCTAAACTCGAACACCACGTACTCTTTCTCGACCAAATTCTTCAGGGCCAAGGATTCCTTCACCAAGTACCCAGTACGCATGCTGTAGCGCGTTGGAGAATTGCAAGACGGAAGTGCCACTCTTGGAATCACACCTACAATGTCAAAACTCGTATCTTTGAGCGTGCAGTCGGCATCGTTTGGCATACTTTCCAGTCGCCCATCTGGCGGTAAGTAGATACTGGAGGGAGCATTGAGAAACTGCTGCGGAGAGTGGAATGTGAGCGCATTGTTCATTGGTGATGCAGACATCGCGATGCCCCCCAAAGGTGACGTCGAGGAATGAGTCGCGGGAAACGCGTCAAAAGACTGAATGAAGTCCGAGCCCTCTGATTTGAAACTCTTTTTTTCAGTATTTTCGGAGACATTTCCTTGAGCTTCCAGCACGATTTTTGTCTCATTGTGAGTTTCATCAAACATTGAATGTCCATTGCTTGACGCAGACTTGAATAAATACTTTGGCAAGCGGTTTGTTGTGAGCACAATTAGTGATATGTCCTTGTACTTGGCCGTAAGCCGTTTCCAATGTAAAAGCTCGTCGTCAGGAATGATGCTGCTCACACGTGCAAGAACCAAGAACTTCTTTTTGCTCGAACCGCAGATCCGCTGCAGAATGTCCTCATTGAGTTTCTTGAATAAGTTATTAGAGATCTCCCATATCTTGAAGATAATCGAGCCTAAGTCGTGCACGTCTTTATCCGAACCTGCTTTCGCGGACGGAGGACAATACCAAGACCGCATATGAGTCACAATTCCAAGGGGATCAGACCATGCTGCACATATCCAATTTTTGTCCACTGACCTCTCGTACGCGACATGGAGAAACATGTCGTCTTGACCATCCGAGTTCAAGCTTTCTTTCCCCAGCCTGCTGAGAAACTTGAAGTTGATAGAGGTCGGTGTATCTTTAACAAGTTGAGAGTAAAGCTTTCTTGGCTCCTCTCGATCGAGAACAGGCAGCTTCAGATCCACCAGATGTGTGTTAGGGCACTTGTTATATATAGTGGTCGAGATCTTAGCTAGCTTGCTGTCAGAGAGGTATTTGAGATAGCACCCACTTGAGGACTTTTTAAATAAATGACTGGAAGGAATCACATGTGCGAACACTTCTACCAAGGAGAGCTGATGGTTGTTCAAGTTGACTTTGAAATTGCGACAAATTTTAGCAATCTGGAGGACAGAGTTGATGCTTTCGCCAAAATCAATGAATAAAAGAAGAAGCGGTCTATCGAACTCAAATCGGTTGGTTCGATTGATGAGATCCAATTTGATCAACTCTGCTAAATTCTTCAATTTTCTGTTTGCTCTTTTGTAGAAATCGTTGTACGAGCGATCTCCCAAGTCTTTGTCGATCATAAGTATTCCGTTGCTTATACCCTCAAGATCGGGTCTTGTTTCGAAAGTTTGCAAGTTGAGAGTTTTCACACTTCCTAGGCGCATGTCCATATAGTTATATTTTAACATATCCAAAAATTCTGCGTCACCGCAAGTATTGGAGAAATGTTTGTCATGCCTCAGATGATTTTCCGTGAGCATTAACACCTGGAATTTCTTCGGCCCATTGATAGGGCTGAAGTTGAAGTATTTCCAAAACCGAGTGCCTAGAATGTTGAGGTTGATGATATCTTTTTGGTTCTTGCATACTTGGACTTTCACTTCATCGAAGACAACCACCGATTTCTCGTCGAACTTTCCTGTTCTTCTCTTTTCGCTTCCGCTAACCCCGCTGCCAATGGAAGCATTCGGGATAAACGAGTCCCAATAAAGCAGAGAGGCATCCGCAGAGGGCGATGCGAAATTCAGGGAGCCTTCGTTCATGTCCATGGTCATTTCATCCAAGAATGGCAATGGGGCTTTAGAGTCCAGGGCGGGCAAGGACACGGCACTTGAAGATGTCGATGGGGTCACAAGAAGCTCGTTCAAAGTGACGACATGGCTTTGAGGGAATGTTTCCTTGAAAATCCTCGCAGTCTCCTGTGACGCGCTACTATCGGTAAGGCCCGTTAGAACTTCTTCCGAGAAAAAATCAGGGAGCCGCAACTGGGTGTGGCGCTCGAAATCAGTTAGCCCCAAGTCAAAGACTAGATTCGGCATGAGCCAGTTCAACAACTCATCCATGTGCTTGACTTTCACTGAGAGCCCTGCATCTTTGTGTTCGATGTCATCTTCTTCGTCGTCGGCATCCATGTCAAAGCCGCCAGCCATGGAGACAGTACCCCAAGCCCCAGGAACTTTATTCAAAAGAAACATGTTGGGGATACTTTGCGTATTTATACTGCGAAGAATCAAGGGCAAGCAATTTGAGGATTCGGAGACGCCGCTGGACGTGCTGGAGCTCGACGATGGTGTGTTTGAGGCCTCGGGGACCAGGATGTCCTTGTTGCTGGGCAGCGGATCCAGAGGCTCTGAGGCCACGCCTGGGTTCACATCGGGCTTCATGTCTGACACCGGCAAAGGAGAGAGGGACACTGCGTGTGTGTCTATACCAAGCCCGAACGGGGAGCTGTCCTTATTTGTCCTGGATGGGTTTATCTGGGCTGTCCCTGGAGAGATGAGCACCGAGTTGGCGCCCGAAAATGGGAAGTGCGCAGACACGGCCAGTTCAGGGGGCGGATGCGGGTCTTGCATCGCGTCCTGCGAGGGCGCCGTGTCAAACAAGTCACCCACATGAGTGTTGAGTTTCAAAGTGGCCCCGTTGAGGTCAGAGAAGGGCAAGCGAGTGCTGTCGTCCTCATCCTCGTCACTTTCGATTTCGTCGTCGTCGGCGCCGTCGTCATTGTCGTCGTCGGAATCGACGTCGTGGTCGCTTTCGGCCGAGAGCATATCGAGGTCGACGTTCGAGGCGAGCTCGGGCGGCAAGTTCGCTGCCGTGGCAGGCCGCCTGCCCGTGGCCGTGTCGCCATCCTTGCCCTCGGCAGCACTCAGCGAGGAGTCGGATACGCGAGTCGGGAGATGGGCGGCAGAGTCCTTGAGGACATTGAGGTCGTACGCCAGGACGCTGGTCTCGCGCAAGCGCGGTCTGCGGGGCTCCAGCTCCGGGCCCGAGGATTCCTCGGTGTCCACATAGAACTTGCCCCCCTTGCCGTACTTGGTATCGATGCTGTTTTTGATTTTCGGGTTGAACACAATGGGTGAGAAAGCCCATGCCGCGGCGGAGTCCAGGTGGCGGCGGTCGCGGCGGGCCAGCCTGTGGGCGCTGGCGGGCGGCTGCAGATGCGTGTTCTGCGGCGCGTGGAGCGGCAGGAGACCCGGGAAGCCGCCGAACACGCCGTGCTGCGCCACGGCGGGGGTCGGCACGAGCGGCGGCGGCGCGCCCGGGTCGTCGTACGAGCCGGGGGTGAATTGCCGGATGTCGGCGTGGATCATCTCATTCCGGGGGATGCCCAAGTACGCGGCGGACCCGGCCGGTCTGGGCGAGTCCTCTTTTGCCCGCATGGGCGACGCGCTTGCACGAGGCGGCGTATTCTGCGAGGCTGGGAGGGGCTCGCCCGGGGGCGCGCTGCCGGCGGATCCGTCGGGCAGCTCGCGGGCGTCCAGGTCGGAGCTTGCGCCGAAAAGATCGTCATCACTGCCGCTGTTGCCGATATCGTTGTCGTTTTTGATGTCGTTTTTGTTGTCGTTGGCGTTGGTGTTGGTGTTGGTGTTTGTGTTGTTTTCGATTTTGTTGTCGTTGTCGTTTTTGTTGTCGTTTTTGTTATCGTTGGCGTCGTTGTCGTTGTCGTTGTCGTTGACGATGTCGATGTCGTTTTTGTTGTCGATGTCGATGTCGATGTCATTCTTCCCGCCGTCACTCGGCACAAACGGGAAGGCCAGGTCCGGCGCGTCGCCAAAGGGGGCTGCGGCAGAGACGTGCCCCAGAAAGACCAGGGGCAGCATGGCGTGCCCGGCGCTCAGCACGCCCGGCTGGGCGCCGGATGCCCCGCTGGGCACGCTGAACGGGTCGCCCGTCTCGACGGGCGCCAGCGCGGCGGTGGCCAGGCCCCGCGTGGGCGTGCTACCGGCCGCGGGCGGGCCCGGGCCCGGGGCGCTGAGCGCGTGGGCCCAGTAGGCGTCGAGGAGCGCCATTGGGTCGGGCGGCGGGCGGGCCGTTTGGCGCGGCGGCACGTCCGCGCTGCCGAACTGGAGCATGCAGAGCTCCCAGGGCCACAAGATGTACTTGCGGTTGTCCACGTCATGCACGAAGCGCGCCACGGGCGAGGTGTGGCTGTTCAAGTGCTGGAGGTTGGGCACGAGCTTGGCCCACACCACGCGCGGCTTGGCGGCCAATTCCACGCCCGTGCTGGCCTTCAAGAGCCGCATGAGCGTGGGCGCGGAGCGCGGCGGCGTGGCCGTGAAGCTGCGCCGCACGTTGTGCGGGTCGTAGAGGTGGCAGCGCAAGCCCGCGGGCACCACGTAGATGGCGAAGCACGCGGCGAAGCCGGGCGTCACGTGGTCGAGGCTGACCACGCCCAGGTCGAAGAGCGGGAGCCGCGCGCGCTGCGTGACCAGCACCCAGAGCTCGCCGCCGGCAAGCAACACCGGGTCCATCTGGACCACGCGGTACTGCGCCAGGCCGGGCGCCGTGCGCGCGGCCACGTGGTTGCCGAACATGTGCATCTGGCCGCCGGCCGCCACGTTGTACACAAGGAGCTTTTTGACGGCCTTGGCGAACAGGAGGCTGGCGTAGGGGAGGTGCTCGTCGGCGGCGGGGGCGCCGGCCGGGGTGCCGCTGCGGGGCCGCGGCCCGGCCGCGGGGCTGGCGAGTTGCTCGGCCGACACGACCGCATGGTGCTTGCGCGTGAGCTGCGGGTACCGGGCGGGCAAGTCCGCGGGGCCGGCGGGATCGTTGGTGTTGTTGGAACCGGGGTTGTTGTGGCCAGAACCGGGGTTGTTGTGGCCAGAACCGGGGGTGTTGTTGGAACCGGGGTTGTTGTGGCCAGAACCGGGGGTGTTGTGGCTAGAACCGGGGCAGTCGTTAGCCGCCGGCCAGTGGCCGAGCCGGAAGTGATAAAGGCACTTGTTGTTGTACGTGACGAGGACGCGCGGGTGGTCGTGCCGGATCCGGAGCTCCAACTCGAGGAGCACCTGGTCGGGCGCCGCGTCGGTGGTGGTGTAGATGGAATATGAGACCAGCTGGAGCCGCGCCACCTTGTAGTAGTGCGTGGCAACGGCCGCGGTGGAGTCCGCCACGGGCATGGCAGAGGCACGGGGTCGTTTGGGCGGCGGGGCCGGGGGCGGCCGGGGGTGCAGGCACGAGGAGGGGTGTGGCGCCGAAACTAGGCGGAGGATAAAGAGAAGAAGGGGTGGTTCTTAGGAGTTGACAGTTGAGGTGCGGGAGCCAGGAGGCACGGGTGTGCGGGTGGGTGGATGGCTGGGTGGGTGATATATGGGTAGATGATTGATGTGGGTGATTTATGGGTCGATGATTGATGGGTAAAGGATTGATGGGTAGATGATTGATGTGGGTGATTTATGGGTAGATGATTGATGGGTAAAGGATTGATGGGTAGGTGGCTGATGGGTAGGTAATTTATGGGTAGATGGCTGATGGGTAGATTATTGATGGGCGGGTGATTGATAGGTGGGTGATATAGGGGTAGTTGTAGGAAACTGCTGTATTGGTGAGTTGGGTCGGTCAGTTGAGTGGGTCATTTGGGTGCTGATTGGAGGGGCAGTAGAGGGGACAATTGTAGGGTGGCTTTCTGGTGAATGAGTGGATGGGTGGATAGGTGGGTTAGTTGATTAGCAGATGTCAATTCGCGGGTCTGTTAATTATTGAAGTAGGAGATAGAATAGTAGGTCTGTTAGTAGACATTAAAAAGTAGATCTGTTATTTAGTAGATATTGATTTGGCAGATATTGAATTGGTAGATATTGAATTGGTAGGTATTGAAAAGTAGATCTCTTCATTAGTAGATATTAAATTGGTGGATATTAAATTGGTAGATGTTGAAAAGTAAATCTGTTCATTAGTAGATATTAAATTTGTAGATATTAAATTTGTAGATAATAAATTGCTAGATAATAAATTGGTAGATATTAAATTGGTGGATATTAAATTGGTAGATGTTGAAAAGTAAATCTGTTAATTGGCAGATATTATATTAGTGTATCAGTAGATTGGTAGATCAGTCAATTAGTAGGTGGACCAGTAAATTGGTCAGTAATTTGGCAGATCAGTAAATGGGATCATCAAAAAGTTTGTGGATCAGTATACTGGTGGATCAGTCAGTTAGTAGATATTATCTTAGTGTACTGGTGGATTGGTAGACTGGTGGATCAGCCAATTAGTAGGTATTATACTAGTGGATTAATAAACTGGCCATTCAGTACTTCTAGGCCAAAAGGAAAGGGAAGCACATACTTCAAAAACGGGTATATCCGAGGGGACCAAAACGTACTGAGTCACCCTCCATGTATTTTCTCAAAGCTTTGGAACTGGTTCCACAGGATAAGAAGGTGCAATCTCATAGATTCGTCTTGGGCTTGGAAGACTTTATTCTAGTGTCTCTTTTCCAATCCCGGGGGCTTGACCACGACTATTTTGAATTCCTTATGGAAGCCCGCTGAAGATCCTAGTGTAACACGGTCTTTTGTCGACAAACTTCAATTCATGTCAAAATTCAACAGGTTTCCTCTTACGCTAACTATGTGTGACGAGGGTTTACTTAATAATCTTCTTTTAGTTGTGAGTACATTTTCCCTTGCCAATTTGGTCCTAATTAAGCATGTTCTCCTGTCTCGATGATCGGCGCCTTAAGACCCCAAAGAGAGGTCCTTACGTAATCCAGTGGGAACCAATTTGAATGGATCTGGTTGCATCATATCAATAAAAAATTGCGGATAATAGTCTTCGATGTTGAGCCAGTTGTTCATAACACACAAAACAGGTACCACTATTAATGCGGTCACAATTGCAGCGACAGAGAAAACGTTAGTGTCGACCAGTAAATTGCCATTATTCGTCGCCTTCTCTCCTTCTTTGTTAGATCAGTCAATTAATAGAGAGTTTATTGGTGGATCAGGGAATCGGTGAATCTGTAAGTTGGCGGGTTATAAGCGGCTTATCAATGAATTGGTGAATCAGAAGATTGGCCGATCAGCAAATTGGCAGACATTGTCCGCAATTGATAATATTAATTGTTGTTGAATTTCGGACCGCGGGACTGTTAAACACTGCTTCCAGGCTCTGGTCCTGACCGGAAACTCATCGCTTATATCTCTAGACAGTGGTTTGTGCTTTCAATAATGTACCAGTGTGCTATCCCCCTTGCCCATGCTGTTTTGCTTACCCGGAGAGGCTCTGGGAAATAACACACATTCTACGTAAACAAACAATGGGTCAATGTATGGCACTATATTAAATGGACCTACTACAAATCGAAAGAAAAAATAATGCTTTTTGTCTTATCCGTATGAGTGTTCGTCTACTTATAAAGCTCAGGGTATAACATTGGTCTGATATGCACGCGAATGCTTTCAGCAGTCTGTGCATTAAGACTGGATTATCTTCGTTCAAGAATGCGACATACGTTCTTTCTAAAATCGCAATAACCCACATTTGCCTTTTGTCGAAAATCCTAAATCATCGCTCATTAGTGTTTAAATTGTCATTGCAGAATAATTTAAAAAATATTCATCACCTCCACAAGCATCCTAGAATGTCAATTTTAATGATATTTTGTATATGGCTTAGATTATTTGTATTTATAAGTTCCAAAACTATTTTCATGTTCAGTCCCATCATCTTTATTCAATCACACCACCGCCTTTTGATCTTTCAGCTGTTCCGTCTGTCTGAGTATATTCTTACATATATGATTGTATCCATGTAGGCGGGGCCATGGGTGACTTGGTATGGTCTAATCAATTTTGCTGTGTAATATGTTTGTCCGGTCGGGATCTATTTTGCCGACTTCCTTATCTTCATTATTTCATCAACTAGAGGCTGTTTACCTTGGAGGCTTGCTGCGGATATCAATACGACTCAACAATTTTTTTCCAGTAAGACAATCGTAGGCGCACCGAACAATCAATAAATGATTGCTCTTCCACACCCCATCTCTGATTAATCCATCCAGGGTCATAAGCTGTTGGAAAAAAAGAAAACTTTTTCAAGGGCCTCCGCCGACGTGAAGCTCCATATTCGAATTCTGGACTATCCCAAATTCCATTTCCCTCGACCCTCTAACATTAGAGGAGTTAAACCAGATTAACTTAGAGGTTAGGATCGACTAATCTATGTCCATCTGCTTTGACACGGAACCTTTCCCCACTCAGTCTTCAAATTTCTCATTTAAATATGTGCTACTACCACCAAGATCTGCACTAGAGGCAGTACGACTCAGAGTCACATATAATGCTTTGTCACTACCTCCACACATGCCTTGTCGAAACAATTATTGTTAGTGGTCCAAGTGCGCTTTCACGACTATGCGCTGATTGACATATTTGTAAATAGTATTTTGCATCTGTTTGGACTATGTGAGTATCCTACGACTAAGACCTTAGCCCATATTTTAATGACAATCAGATCTGGAACACTTCTTTTGATATTGAAATCTTGAGTTTGGTATGTGGGTGGGGCTCAGTATGCGTCTATGAATATGGAAGTTTTTGAGATCTGATGCATTATCAGAGTTTGGGTTTTTACTTGCAATATTGAAAAGATGGAGGTTTTTAAACTTTATTGGTATTGGGTTATGGTGTTTAAATGATGAATTTGACTTTATGGGAATCTGCGTCTCTAATTGAGGTCATCATTTAGATTCCAGGTAAGATTCTGGTACAGCTCAGCAAGATGCTTGAATTTTGGTTTTACTGAAATTTTGTGGACTCTTGGTAATTGAGCACTACCAAGATTATTGTCCTTGAGTTTCTGAGGTATTCTACTAGTTACAGGGCAGTCTCAGAATTGAAGAAGTATTCTTGACAATTTATTAAAATTTAAATGTTAATGAACGTGAACGTCTTGTAATTGAGCAATATGAAAATAAAGGCTTGTTTAAAATGTACGCTAGCGTGGTTTCTAATAATTTGACTAGCAATTAAGATAGTTTCTCATGGAGTCAATGATCTCATCTGGCACTTTGCCATCATTCAAGTACCAATAAGGTTTGTTGGTAGTCTTCTAAACTTTGGGAAAACGATGTATGAGACATGGTACGCTTATTTGGGCAAAATTATACGTTTTTAAATATGGGTATTGTTGCGGAAGCTCTATGTCCTTTCTAGTCAACACAACATTGAAAGTTGATACTAGTATGATCTTTGAGTATAATCTTTGCTGTGCTAGGGTGATAATTAAGAATACTAAGTATTAAATTACTTCTGGGAATCAATGTGATTGCATGAATATTTGGGTGACTCTTTTATATCTGAGTACATAATACATAGTATTTAACTTAAAATGTTGGGTTTCTGCTCTGGCTGGAGCCCATACTTGATAAAAAGAAGAATTTATGCTATTGCTAGAGTATCAAATTAAATATCCCCAATGTTCGATATAAATTAGCTGATTCCTTTATACCAAGTACGGTATTAGTCAATCTCCGGGGTAGGAAAGCAAGAAACCAACCATCTTTTAACTGATCCAGTATTTAGTAGTACATTTGACCTAGTTTTGAAGGATCATTAACATTAAGTGTTCAAAAGGTTTCGAGCAGATAATACACTAATTATCAGGATAGTCACAAGGTTTAATATTCTTGGTTTCGACGTAAAATTTCGTACAGTTTGAGTCGAGCAGTCCATAAACTGACATCCATGCCTGGTTCTCAAAGCTTTTTCAACAGCCGGTAAAAAAGCTTAAAGAAAATGTAACAAAAAAAAAGAAAAACAAAAAATTGATTTTAATACGTCGAGCGCACCACAAGTAGCTGGTGACATCATTGACCCCTTGGTATTACAACCTCTCACTTACATGTGCCATGTATTTTAAGCCAGCCCCACGGCCAGCCAGAAAGGTTTGCTAGTATCGAAGAAAGAAATGTACTCTGCCTAGAATTGGCGATTTTGACCTGAACCACCCAAAACACCCAGCAGCAAGAACGCGCCTGCACAGAACGCCGTTCTTTGAACAACATCCGAACGTGCCTCATGGATCATAGATTAGAATTGAAACCCCGTCAATTACCCAGCATCTATAGAAGCACCCGATATGTCTTTATCCGGTATTCCCACCGATGATCTCACACGTACGTGACTTTTCCAGACTCGGCGAAGAACTCCCCTCGGGGTTTCATCTATTCTCCAAACCACTAACAAACATTAGCGATTCTTAAGTCCTCGGATCTTGCCGAGGAAATGCAAGTGCGTGTCTTGGAAATGGCTGTCGAGGCATTAAGAACATATCAGATCGAGCGCGAAATTGCCACCTATTTGAAAAAGGAATTGGACTTGCTTTACGGCGCTTCGTGGCATGTTATTGTAGGCAAGTCGTTTGGCTCGCACGTGACGCACGAGCAAGGCTACTTTGCGTACTTTTATATCGGCGAAATGGCGTTTCTTGTCTTCAAGAGTTGAAGAGGGCCTAATTCCCCGTCGCTTGGCGCAGCAAATATGTCGGTCCTGAAATCTCTTCGTGTTTCTGATTCCGAGGATTCTCCGTATTTTGCTGGCCGAGCTTATATGCGGCAGAGATGGGACCAGATGCCGAGAACCAGAGAGATGTTCAAGAACAAGGAACTGTTTTTCTCAGACATTGGGTTCTCCAGTGGTCCGAGAACTCAGCTGCACACAGCTGCCTTTTGGGCCCAGTGGCTGTTGCCATCTTTGAGTACACCGACAATGGCTGGATGAGTCTATAGCACAAGTATCAGGCACATCAAATATCTGCCTGTCTACGAAGAAGCACGGGGGATCCCCCGTTTCACAAGTATCTTTCATACGTCTTTCTAGGTATAAAAAAACATGGCACCGTCACATTCAGTTGCCCAACTTCTCGGCCTGGCCACTCAACAAAGTGAACACTGGCGCATCGAGCTTTTCTCTGCCTTTCAAGAAATCCAACTCCATGACAAAAAGGTACTCCACGGTCTTGGCGCCAGCCTTGGCCACCAACTCACCCGCGGCACTGGCACTCCCACCAGTGGCCAAAATGTCGTCCACCACCACGACCTTGGCATCCTTGGGAATCACGTGCTCCTGGAGCTCAAACTTGTCACTGCCGTACTCCTTGACAAACTCGGCAGACAAAACAGGACCGGGCAACTTGCCGGGCTTTCTGACAGGAATGAACCCGGCGTTCAAGGCCAAGGCCAAGGCAGGCCCAAAAAGAAAGCCCCTGCTCTCCAAGACCACAATGTAGTCGACTTCCTGGCCCTGCAAATGCATCTCAAAAGCCTTGACAAGCTTTCTGAACGAGTCTGGCTTGGCGAAGATTGGCAAGAAGTCTTCGAAAAGAATACCCTCTTGAGGGAAGTTGGGGAACTGCTTCAACTCGCTTTTCAACTCGGTGGCAAGGCTCAGGATCGTGGGCGACATGGCTATATATGAGGGTGTCTACGGAGTATTTACTGAGTTATTAGGTCTTTGGCGATACTTTTTTTTTTCGCGTTTGCTTTACTAATACTGGCACACCCGTGCCTCCGCGTCGCTGCCTGCTGGGATTTCGCAGCCAGTTCATGGGCGCGACTTTAGAGGTTTCTGAATGTGCAATCAGCTCAGGGTTCACTCAGCACGCATGTGTTTCTAGCTACGACAATGCTGTGTACCCAGCATTGTCGCTATACATTTGTATAGCGGTTTGAATCAGCCACCGGTGTGATCTAGCTGAATGCATCTATATTAGTTCAAGGGTGCGACCTAACTTAGATGATAACTTCCTTGGACCCCAGTCAGCCACGGATCAGGAGATTTTATTCCTCTGGGAGTGGACCCGTGAGCTTTGACAGAAAGACGCTGGCTGTTCATGATACTGACTTCAAATGACCGCGGATCGCAAGATGTACTATCCCATTCGTCTATTCACATCATGTTTCTACTCACATCATGGATCTATTTACGTCACATCGGTGGTCTAATCAACGCATGGGTTTGTTCATATCATGGTTTTGTTCATATCATGGTTCTATTAGTCTCATGAGTCTATAAGCATTATGAATCTATTCATATCATGGTTCTATTCACATTCACATCATGGCTCTATTTACTTCATGGAATATTTTCATCATGGATCTAGTCACATCGGTGGTCTATTCAACTCATGTGTTCATATCATGGGTCTATTTGTCCCCTGAATTGATTATCATTACGAATCTATTCATCTCATGAATCTACCCACACCATGAATCTACTCACATGATGGTTTTACTCACATGATGGTTCTACTCACATCATGAATCTACTCACACCATGAATCTACTCACATTATGGTTCTACTCACATCATGGTCTACTCACATCATGAATCCAGTCACATCATGAATGTACTCACATCATGGTTCTACTCACATCATGAATCTACTCACATCATGAATCTACTCACACCATGAATCTACTCAAACCATGAATCTACTCACATAATGGTTCTACTCACATCATGAATCTACTCACACCATGAATCTACTCACATTATGGTTCTACTCACATAATGGTTCTACTCACATCATGAATCTACTCACATCATGAATCTACTCACACCATGAATCTACTCACATTATGGTTCTACTCACATCATGGTTCTACTCACATTATGGTTCTACGCACACCATGAATGTACTAACATATGGTCTACTCACATCTTGGCTTCATTCACATCAAGATCTTTTTATCTCACGGACTTATTCACATCATGGATCTGCTCATATCGGGGCCTAGTCTTCCATGTCAAATGCACACAGGCGCCGCGGCAACAAGGCCCCACACTCTGGCACCAGTACGCTCGCCCGGGCCCACAGTATCACCCACCGCTAAAAGTCGTCGCACACGAGCAACGCCGGGTCGGTCACACATGCCATCTGCGGAACATCGTCCACAATTGTGAAGGGCGGCACCGTGCGCCACGCGCCGTATTCCACCACCCCCCCGTCCTCGCTGATTGTGACAGGCCGCCAGCGCCACCCCAGCAAAAGATACCTGGTGGCCACGCTGAAGATCTGGACGCGCTGGCCCGCAGGGGCGTGGCACGCGAATTCCATCTGCTGTTCGCCGGTGGCCTGCATTTCCGACGTCGTTTCGAAGGATGTGAAGAACCACAGCGTGCCAAAAGTGCCCAACGTCATCCCGGCGGTCGCCGCCACGTGGAACTGGCCCGTCTGCAGGTGCTGCTGGATGGCTCCGTCTCCGTGGAGGGCCAGCAAGCACAGCGAGACTGGCTTTGTGGTTCTGCCGACGGGAACACTACTTCCAGGCGCAAGTTCTATCCACTGCTGGTCGGGGTCAAAGCCGAGTTTTGAGTGCAGGAGCTTGAGCGTTTGGGCGTGGACCACAACGGTGCGGGGGTTGGGGGCCAGGGCGTTCAGGCCCGGCGGGTCGACGCAAATGAAGACGACATTGTCATGCACCAAGTGGCGGGCCGTGAGGGCCAGGCAGTCCCACGGCTGGCTCCCCAGGGCCGCGGGCCCCAGGGCCGCGCGCGCGAGCCCGGAGAGTATTGGTAAGAGGCCTCTAAGCAACATGGGATGGGAAGAAGAAACAGATGTGATTTGAAGAAATTTGTGCTATGAGAAGAAAGGGGTTCAGGGGGAAAAATGCGGGAGTTATGCCATGGTCAGGTTTGCTCTGGCTTTGTTTGCATGATTTGCTGAGAGGGCTGTTTTTCTGGTCCGCTGGCGCCGCCCAAACGTGGGGCAGGCCCGAGCAGAAAAGTGCGCGCCAGGCCAGTAGAATGGGGCCGCACGCTGGGCATGGGGAGTGTTTTTGCCTGCCCTTGAGTTTGCACCTGATGTTTCTTGCCTGAAATTGCAATTAATGTTTCTTGCCTGAAATTGGAATTTGCACTTATTATTTCTTGCCTGCAATTACAATTTGCACTTAACGTTTCTTGCCTGCAATTAGAATTTGCATTTATTTTTCGGCCGCAGAGCATACTTGTTGGTTCAGTGCAAAGATTTTACCGTGGCACCCGGGGCTCGACAAAACACAGGCTAATCGAACGCATGCTGGTCTTTTGGGCTGCCCAATGTTTATGGCATCAATTTGGCGGGCAACGCCAAATTCAACAGACCATTGTACTCGAGGAGAATTACCTGCAGAGTGCGATACAATATGCTTCAGCCGTATGACGTGGAATGTAGCGGAACGAGCTGCGGGCATACTGGAAATGCGAATAACGAAGACACCACCCACCGTGCGGCGGAAGCATTATAATGCCCGATACGTGATTCATGGGATAAGCTGCACCTGCAAGACTTGTGTGATCTGACGGCTCACTTTGTGCTTTGGAAGTGTGCAGAGTTTCTAGTGGCAACAAATTTCGAACCATAGACCAAGCGTTCTTTGGGACGCTATGTGAATAAATCTTTGGGACGCTATGTAAATGGGTGCGAAAAGTCACTTTTGGGAACGTGTTGGAAAGTGTGCGTCTCCAAAACCCTCGGTACATTAGAAAATACTGGTCATGCCTATATGGTACTTGGGTTTTATCGGTGAATGAATTTCATGAGCAATAGAAATCATCAGTAAAATGGCCCAGTCAGAGAGATAATGTTGATGCCTTCATTTAACGACTTGATGGTCCAAATGGCTACATGCAACACGAAAAATAACAGTTTTTCTTTGCAAACACGACTTGGAAACTATCCTCACCACACTCGCGAGCTAATTACATTTCTTAGATCACCAGGAAGCTGCATACTTTAGCTGATCGAGGAGGATAAGAAAGGGACAGCAAACGTCGTGAGCCTATGAAGGAATCTTCCAAAAAAAAATACAGAGAAAGCAAGAGGGCTTGCAATAGACGCATTCGTCATATTGTGTTGAGCTTGCTACTGAGCATAGCAAGAAACACGTTGTATCCCTGTAAGACCCTCAGCTCAAGCATCAAGTAAGATACGCTTGCGTGTTTTTGAGCCCACGGAGATGAACAGTCCTGTTCCTCAACCATTTTGGGAAAGGAAACGTATTCAGGGCATTTAATCGAGAGCCGGATCATCGATTTGAGGGCCCATACATTGACTTTCAGTCTCCTGTCCATTGAATGTGTGAAACCGAATAAGTAGGTGGGTGTATATCCTCAAGAGCTGACTTCGTAAACACAGAAAAGGAAATGCTTTCTATTTCTAGACCAGTCTCTTGCAACCAAACCCATGGAAGGGTGATGGCTTTGCGAAGGGAATCGTGGACGGTGGTTTTAAAAATTGCATTCGGTGCTCTCACATTACAAACAGAAGATTTACAAAGATGCAGAGATTGCACCAAAGAAGGCCTCGTGGAGTGACACCATCAAAGTTTTGGAATACTGTGTTTTCTAGGGTCTGTTCGAAAGGCTTTGATGTATTTATCGCCCTCTCTGCAGAAAGACCTCCGGTATCCGTCTCGCGTGTGAATCACGGGAACAGAAGCATCATGCCCAGTATTTCTAGAATCTGGGGGTGTGCAGGGGAGCCAGGGGTTGAAACATACAAGTTGTTGATGGAACGAGCCTGTCACGTGTCTCATCAATGCATATTGTTGAATCCGTCCCGGAACATGTTGTGCCAGGAAAGAAGGCATGGTTGGAAGATTATGAGAATGTCTGGCTGCACTGCGGTGACATCATAGGGAATCCAATGAAATCTAGAGGGGCTCATAAAAAGGAGGCACTGAAGCAGCTGAAGTATCTCCTCATCGAACCCAAGGTCCCAAAAGTATTCCTATAGAGCCCAGGAATAGATGATAGAATAACCTGAAGGTGAAATTTAATGAAAGCAAAAAGATGCAGTAGCAAGCCAAATGCTGCAGTAATAAAAGCCAAAGGGTCTACAAGTAAAATCTAACAAAGCCAAAGGATCCAGTAGTAAAATCTAAGAAGGCGAAGGTGCCACTAATAAAGCCAAAGGACCCAGTAGTAAAATCTAAGAAAGGCGAAGGTGCCACTAATAAAGCCAAAAGATCCAGTATCGAAATCTAATAAAGCCCAAAGGATCCAGTACTGAAACCCACAGTACCTAGTGATGAAATCAAATTACCTTCTTATTAAAACCCAAAGTAGGTAGTAATTAAATCTAAAGAATCCAGTAACAAAAAAGGATCCAATACTGAAACCCAAAATCCCTAGTGATAAAACCAAAGTACCTAGTGATGAAATCAAATTACCTTCTTATTAAAACCCAAAGTAGGTAGTAATAAAATCGAAAGAATCCAGTAACAAAATCTAATAAAGCCCAAAGGATCCAGTAACAAAATCTAATAAAGCCCAAAGGATCCAGGAATAAAATCTGAAAAAACCCAAAACACCCCGTAATACATTCCAAAGTACCTAGTAACAAAATCAAACAAAACCCAAAGGATCCACTAGCAAAACCCCACCGCACATTCCCACCAGCCCATGGCCTCGCGGGATGACCCCAGTATCCGTCGCGCATGACCTGCTGGGGCAACAAGACCGGACTTGCCCCAGTAGTCCATGAAACGCCACTAAATTGCAAAAGCAAAAACCACCGATTCCTCGTTGCAAAAAAACAAAAACTAGCCTCTGATCCACCTATGCTACTCGACACATAAAAGAGCAGAAACCCCCGACCCAGGTCCACGTGCCCCATCCCATATCATACCCATGTCGTCCCATGCGCAGGCGTCACCTCCAAACCTGCAACCTCGCGACCTGCAACCTCCGGACCTCCCGCCACCTCCCCCCTCTTGGGCCGCGCACGCCCGCCGCAGTCTCAAAACTTTCAACCTCCAACAACCGCCGAGTTTTCAGAGCAACGACATCCCGGCAAACACACGGCCTTTTCTGTTCCTCCCAGCGTGCACACCCTCGTGTCCACCCCCGAACCGACGCCCCGAAAAAAGCAAGAAAAACGCCCTGTTTGCGGACATGTCTTCTCCCCCCGAGCCAGCCGCCGGGACAGGCCTCAAACGGCCCCGTTCCCCCGGCGCCACCGCCGCCGTGAAGCCGGAATTGCCCAGCGGCGGCCTGCTGCAGCCGCCCGAGGAGCCCGGCAGCTCTTTTCCCGCGGAAAATGCGCCCGCCACGGCGGGTTCTGCCGACGCCCAAACCACGGCCTCTGACGACGAGAAAAGCGCCGGAACCGGGCCCCAGCCGGGCGCAACCGGCGCCGACGAGGCCGCCAGCGATGCCGACAACGGCGGCGGCGGCGACGATGACGATGACGATGACGATGACGACGACGACGACGAAGACGACGATTTGAGCGTCTCCCGCAAGGCCAAGCGCAGGCGCGCCAACCAGTTCCTCGATATCGAGGCCGAGGTCGACGACGAGGAGGAGGACGAGCTCGACGAGGACGACGAGGAGGCGGAGCTTTTGCGCGAGCAGTTCATCGCGGACGACCACGCCGAGCGCGACGTGGCCGTGCCCGACGCCGCGGACGACCGGCTCCACCGCGAGTACGACCAGCGGCGGCAGAAGGCCGAGGACCAGGACGCGGAGCAGTTGGCCGAGACGTTGAAGCAGCGGTACCGCAAGACGCACACGGTGTACCGCGGCGACACCGCGGCGAGCGGCACGGTGTCGCAGAAGCTCCTCATGCCGTCGATCAACGACCCGGCGATCTTCGCCATCCGGTGCACGCCGGGGCGCGAGAAGGACTTGGTGCGCAAGCTCCACGAGAAAAAGCGCACGTTGGCGCGGCTGGGCAAGCCGCTCGACCTCTTGTCGGTGTTCCAGCGCGACGCGTTCCTGGGCTACATCTACATCGAGGCCAAGAAGCCCGAGGCCATCCAGCAGGCGCTCACGGGCATGGTCAACGTGTACGCGACGCAGCGCATCATCGTGCCCGTCAGCGAGTATCCGGACTTGCTCAAGCAGGTCAAGTCCTCGGACGTGGAGATCGTGCCGGGCATCTACGTGCGCGTCTCGCGCGGCAAGTACAAGGGCGACTTGGCCATCGTGGACAACCTCTCGGAAAACGGGCTCGAGGTGCGCTGTAAGTTGGTGCCGCGCTTGGACTACGGCAAGAACGACGAGTTCACGCCCGACGGCAAGCGTGTCCGCCTGAAGGTCCGGCCCGTCCCGCGGCTCTTCAGCGAGCTGGAGGCCCGCACATACGACGCCGACTACTTGCAGCCGGGCCGCGGCCCGCGCTCGTACGTCTACCGGGGCGAGGAGTTCATCGAGGGCTTCCTTCTCAAGGACTTCAAGTTGCAGTTCATACAGACCAAGGACGTGCACCCGAGCTTGGAGGAGTTGGACCGCTTCCAGACCGGCGCCACCGAGGAGGACGGCTTGGACCTCGCGGTAGTGGCCGCGTCCTTGAAGAATAGCAAGTCCTCCGACGGCAGTCGATCCAGCGCGTTCCAACCGGGCGACAACGTGGAGATCCGCCGCGGCGAGCAGGCAAGGACCACCGGTAAGGTCACCGGCGTCTCGCTCAACGAGGTCACCATCATTGTCACCGATGCGGGCGATTCGAAGTTGGTCAACCAGGAGTTGACGGTCACCGCCAGTGACTTGCGCAAAGTGTTTGCGCTTGGCGACCACGTCAAGGTCGTGGGCGGAAAGCACACCGACCAGACCGGCTTGGTGATCAAGATCGATGGCGAGTCCGTCGTTTTGTTGAGTGACCAGACCCGCGAAGACGTGCGTGTCTTCGCCAACTACCTCATCAAGGCAACCGACTCTTCCACCAGCGTTGATATGGTCAACAGCAAGTACGAGATCAAGGACTTGGTGCAATTGAACGCCTCCACGTTTGGTGTGATCGTCAAAGCCGAGACGGGCTTCTACGGGGTCCTCACGTCCGACGGGCGTGTCGTTGAGGTGAAGCCAACCGGTATTGCCGCGAAGCTCAAGTTGACCAGGAGGGAGCAGGTTGCCACAGACAAGAACGGCCTAACCATCAATGTCGGCGACTCCGTGAAGGAGATGGGCGGCGACAAAAGAAAGGAAGGAACGGTTGTCCACATCCACAAGAACACCTTGTTTATCGAGTCGCATGAGCTCAACGAGAACTTGGGTATTTTTGTTACCAACGCCCTCAATGTCAACACTGTGTCCACCAAGAACTCGATGGTGTCCAAAACCCTCGGTCCCGACTTGAGCCGCATGAACCCGAACTTGAAGCTCGCTCCCATGGCAGCTCCAGGTTCTAAAATGCGCAGTGGCGGCCGCGACAAGTTGATCTACAAAGACGTTGTCATCAATAGCGGAAACCACAAGGGCCTCATGGGCAAGGTCGTTGAGACCGACGACGTTGACGCCAGGATCGAATTGCACACCAAGTCCAAGAAGGTCAAGGTCAACAAAACAAAGCTAAGCGTGCTTATCCGCGGCGAAAGCATTCCGTACTTGCGGTTCATCGGTGCAGCCGATGGAGGCCCACGGCCTGGCCCAGGCCTCTCACTGGCACCGGCCTTTTCGTCCGGAGCTAGATCCGCGTGGGGCGGAGCCACCCCGTCCGTCAATGGCGGGGCTGCATCTAGCTGGGGCGGCAAAACCCCTTCTGCGTCCGGCGGAAATGCTTCTGCTTGGGGATCGAGTGGCGGCGCCTCGTCTTGGGGCTCTGGCGGCGCCTCGACGTGGGGCTCCAACAACCCTGGCGGAGCTTCTGCTTGGGGCTTTGGTGGCGGTGGCGGTGGTTCAGCGTGGGGAGGCGCCACTGGCGGTGGAAACTCGACGTGGGGCAGCAATCAGAACCCTGGCGGGAACTCCGCGTGGGGCTCCAATGCCACCAACGGCAGCAACTCGACGTGGGGAGCCAACCAGAGAAGCGGCGGCAGCTCTGCCTGGGGCAGTAAAGGCGGCAGTTCTGCGTGGGGCAAATCGGGAAGAACCTCTTCGTGGGGCAATCAGGCCGGTGGCAACTCTGCATGGGGACTGAACTCTGGCGGAGGCAACTCGTCAGCGTGGGGCAGCAAGTAGGGCCAAACAATGTACAGTATAATATAACGGATGCGACTTTATTGATTCTACTTGTTGATGCTTGATGGGTTGAGCTGGCTCATAGCGATGGGCCCCGACACGGCGAAGCAACAACGTCTCGCGCTCTGGAGGGAAATGGTGTTTGTGGCTTGTGTACCCTGGATCTTACCTGGAGGACTTTTCGGAGGCAGCGCAGGTGTGGCAAGCGGAGGACCCGATATATCTCCGTCCCCGCAGAGCAGCGCCTTGACGCTCGCTTTCTGGTCCTGGTGCCATGTTTCTGGGTCGGCCGGGGTGGTTTGAGGAGTGCACGACGAGCCGGTTTGCCACGGCAAGTGAGTCCGTCTGCAACGGCGGGCAGGCGAGCCCGTTTGGAACGACGGGCAGGCGAGCCCGTTTGGAACGACAGGCGAGGGAGACCCTTGTGGTTGTAAATGGTTTCTTTCCAGGCCCGCGGGCCAGAGTGGAGACGCTGATTCGGCAAGACGGAGAGCGCCGAGCGGAGCGGCCCGGAGATCACACCAAGACGGCGGACTGGCCGGGACTACCGCGTGCAACGCGTGCCCGTCAATGGCTCTGGGGATGTCACGGAGGGCAGGGCCGGCATCGGCGCTCGCCCCAGACCCTCGCACCCCGGCAGAACCAAGCGGTCCTATGAGAGTCGGAGCCCCTGGCGGCGAGGAGGAGGAGGCGCTGCGATAAGCGGCGCTGCTGGCAGGCGCCGGCTGCCCTCACGCGCGGTTCTCGCAGCCCGGGCAGTTGTGGAGGACCTCGTGCACGAACACGTCGCAGTCGATGCAAAAGTCGTGGGCGCACTTGCCGCAGCGGAAGCGCAGGCTGGAGGCAGCCGGGCCGGGGGCCTCGGGCGAGCCTGGTGGGAACTCGAGGAGGCAGCCGTAGCAGTGCGAGCTGGGGTACGCCGGGGCCGCGGCCACGGTCGTGTACGCGGCGAGCGGTACCAAGTGGTGGTACAGGCGCGCCAAGTGCGTGGACAAGATCAACATGAGCCCGCACGCCGGGCACACGGTGGGCACGCTGCACACGCGGCTGCGGCACTGCGGGCACGTGTAGGCCGCGGGTGGGTCTGGCACCGCGGCCGACGTGCCCGGCGGCGGCACCGGCTGCACAGGCACGGGCTCCCGCAGGGCCGCGGACCCCCGCGTCGGGTGGCACGCGCAGAGCCGCGGGAGGTTGGCGGCCGGCAGGGCCGGCGCCGGGAGGCGCAGCGGGAAGCCCATGCGGATGACCGGCACGCCCAGCGCATCGCCGGGCACGGCGGGCCCGGCGCCGCGTGGCACCGCGAGCGGCTCCACGCAGTCCATGAGCAACTCGCGGAAGTGGTGCTCGTTGATGATCACGCCGTAGAAGCGGGCGAGGCGCGCGTCCGCGCGGAGGCCCGGGCGGCCCGCGTGCGGGAGGTTGGTGCGGCGCACGAGCTCCTGGCACACGGCGACCTGGGCCAGGAGGCCGATGACCTTAGCGCGGATGTGCTCGCGCGCGAGCGCGGTGATGGTACCGTGGATGTCGCCCGGGTCCAGCGTGAACAACGCGCCAAAGACCACGAGGATCTCGCGCGAGGCCTTCTGCGCCGGCGGCGCCACGCCCGGCGCCGCGCCCAGCGCCAGCACGAGGAGCAGGCGCGCGAGCTCGAGCGCGTTCTGGAGCAGCGGGTCGCCCTGCGGCTCGTAGCGGTTGTGCTGGCGCGCCCGCACCGCGCGGAGCCGGTCAATGTGCTGCTGCGGCAGCCCGCTGAGCGCCAGCACCACGGACGCCACGCCGTTGCGCATCCACACCACGGCCATCTGCGCTACAGGGTTCTGGTCAAAGAACTCACGCACAAAGTCCTGGAGGAGCGCGAGCGTGCACGCGAGCCGCGTCGGCCGGAGGTCCTTGTCCAGCATGGCCCGCAGCCCGTCCACCACCACCACGAGCGTGCGGAGAATGCCGCGCTGGAAGGGCGCGGATGGATGTTTCAAGATCTTGTTGCGGCGGCGCTCGATGGCCTGCTGCACGAGCAGCTCGAGCGACGCGCCCGCGTCGCCGTCGGCGGCCACGAGGTCCCAGGGACGCTGGTACTGGTCCTCCCAGGCGTAGGCGCCGGACGCGGATTTGAGCGTGGAAGTGGGCGCCTTCAGGCGCGTGCGCCGCGCCATGCCTTGCGGCTCGGGCGACGCCAGCGCGCCACGCAGCTCGGCGCCGGACCCATGGTCGGAGAACGCGTCGTCGGAGTCCATGGCGGTGGGGCGGGAAGAAGCGAGGGTGGTGCTGGCGGAGCGCAGTTGAGGTGAGAGCGCCGGTGCTGTGTGCAGGCAGGGACAATGAAGAATGGCCACGGGAAATACGGAAAATGTCGTGGGATGGCGATATATGATTTGTTCAAGTGGTTATGGTCATGGCGGGGAATGGGTAGGGAGATTGGTGGGATGCTCGCGTCTATGATCTGAGCTGATGGTAAGATCTGGTATATGTTTTCTTTATAGTTGGCGGGGTCTTATTCCTCCACATCCTATTATATAATGTGTCATGAAAAAAAAAGATAGAAATATGAAGAATGTTGGTGGCCCTCCGGAATGATGTTTTAGGACGGTGATAGTTGTTTTTTTTGGGTGGTCATTGGTTACGGCGGGGGGGGGGGGG